ACACTTACTCGTATGACCCGTCCGATGTCACCAAGAAGACCGGCTTCTGACCTTGAGTCTTTTCCAGCGTCTCCACGAAGTCGCCATCCTTCAGTGCAAGAGAAATGGAGAACGATCGCATGACAGATGACCACGGGTGACCATAGATAAACGAATGTGTGCAACATACCCCAGCCACGAAGACCACCGCTGCGATCTCGGGGTCGTCGGCCATGTCTTTCAGCATGTCAGCGATTGCGATGTCAGCACCCTTCTGCTTGCCATTTGACTTCACCCTACACACAAGAGGGGGCAGGTGCGTCTGTTCTCTCGCCATGATGTGTGTGTCGCATCTCCCATACCGGGCCTCGTGGATCTTGGCCATGTGTTCAATGCCCTTGTGGAAGTTCTTGAGAGCTCTCTGGGCTGCCATGGTGCTCATGTCGTCGGGCCGTGTGCTCACCACATAGGTGCTGTTGGGGGTGATCTCATACTGAGGCCATTTGTAGCCGAAGCAGCTGATTAGGTACTGGAAGCCCTCGGACGTCATGAAACGTCCCGTGAGGGCAACATGCCTTTTGTCCAGGAAGGCCGAGTCGATGATCACGGCAGCAGCTCCTCGACTGCACACACACACACACATAACTCACCTTACTCACTCTCTCTGCCTGGCAGTCATGGTACCTGTTCATGGTCGTTGCTGGGGGTCCGTTCAGAGGTGGTTGAGACACACGCCCCGGCGTGGGTGTGGGTGCGGTAGGTGTGGCTGTGCGGGGCGGCGTGCCAGCGGAAGGCAGTCGCCCTTCGTATTGCTTCTTGATCGCCTCTAGCTCCTCGAGGCACTTAGCTACGGCAGCCGGCTGGCCTGTAATGTTATCACACAGAAGGGACATGTGCCTGTCGTGGCCTTTGTGTGTCTCTATCTATATGGGCTGACCTTTGACTTTGATTATTGTGCTGTTGTCGTTTCGGTGGGGGATGACAATGTCAATCACATCTGAACACACGAGCGCATACAGCACAAGGTGCATATGTTTGGTTCATCCGGCCTTCCAGTGCTGTGCGTACCCCGTCCGCCGCATCGATCGCGCAGGGCCGTGACGGTCGAGCCGCCCTTGCCGATGTAAAGACCAGCCACATCCTGAACTCATACACCACACACACAGAGAGGCGCGTGTGTACGTGCTCCGCCGGTTCCGTGTGTGTGTGTGTGTGTGCGTGTGTGTGGATGGGTATCTCACCGATGACTCCATGTCGAACGTGGTCTCGATCTCATTCCCGCGCAACTGCTGTGGCCGACCAGAGCAGCTGCCACTACCGAGATCTGACCACACACACACAAAGAGAGGGAGAGAGAAAGAGAGAGAGAGAGGGGAAACGCAGCGGACACACCACACACAGAGGCGTCAGTCACACACCGACACGAGGGATGCACAGTGGCTCACCGTTGGGCGCCGAGGCCCCGTCGAGTCTGGGCGGACTGTCGTCCTTTGCAGAGCTCCTGCACGCGGCAACAAGGCACGACACACACAGCGGTCAGTGGCTGTATCCCTCACACCGATGCCAATCTCACCTGGTTCCTTGTGGAGGCCGACATACCTCAGGATGGTCCCTGCAAACCAAGTGCACAAGTGGATTGTATCGTGAAGTTATCGACCATTCGTCTCTGCCATACCGCAAGTAGTCGAGTTCCTCCTGAGTGTGGGCGGCGTGACAACCGTCGCCATGGCGGCATTGGCCTGTCGGTTTCAGCGAATGAGGTGTGGCCAACGTGGCGTTCTGTGGCGTACCTTGTTTGTGGAACTTGCACCACTCCGGTATGCGCTGCCGCAAATCCTGCCGTCCGTGAGCGAACGGACAGCGATCGCCTCGCTCGCAGAGTGCCCCACGCAGCCACTTTTGGCAGAGCTTGGTCTTGAAGTTGTGGGCTGTGTTCTCCGTGTTCTCGTTAGTTGATCTGACCAACAGACACACACAGGAATAGACCACACACAGGAATAGACCACACACAAAGACACAGACCACACACGCATAAGATTCGTGCGTGTGTGCACACTCATTGCATCAACGCACCGCGTATCGCTATCTCCATCGTCCGCTGTGCTGTCCGAGAAGCCTCGGATGCCCCGTCGCCATAGTTCTTGGAAGGACATACCCATCATGGTGTTGGGGACCGTTGCGACGAAGGAATAAGGGAAACTCGTGGAGATCTTTGGAAAAGGGCAGAGCGCAAAGAGGCAAGGGCAGACGCCGCGTGGAGAATGGAGAGAGCAGGAGACGTAGCAGGCGTAGGAGTAGGGTTAGGGTTAGAGAGCCTGGAGAGGAATCTCTCCGTGAAACCGCTCGCATTGAGGAAATCGCTGGTCCTCTCAGAAACAAAACAGAAAAAAGAAACGATCACATCACCTTCTGAGAGTGATGGAGGACTGGACTCAAGCAGATCTGACCACCAGGTGATGCGCCTTGCCGCCACACACCAGTTGGCTGATCTGGCTGATGTCTGTGTGACTCTTCAGGCTGTCCTGAAAGGGCTGCCGAAGGAAGGAGGGCCTTCCTGAAGGAGGCCATCTGATGGATGATTCAGGCAGATCTGGCCCACAGGGAATGTGGGACTGCGAATTTCATGATGATCCCACGGGAGCCGAGGAGCATCATTACCGCTGGCATCATTTCAATGACACTCACACACAGGTGTGTGCAGCGATGGAGTCAGTGGTGCTGATGCGAATCTGTTCCTTTCTCTTTCCTCGCAGGTGCCAGGTGATTTTGATGCGAGTGCGGCTGGTGAATGGATGACTCAGCAGTCGCATCACAGTGAGCCGCGATGGACACGCATGTGAGCTGAACGGCTGATATCACGCACTGTGTGGTTCCACAGATGATGTATGGGAGCGACACGCCGGTGCTCTGGCAGTTTCTTATCTGCCCTATGGCGGAGGCCACCATTCAAGCGGCCACCCCATCGCCGACCCCTCCATGCAGCAGCAGACACCTCAGGTGAGAGAACGAAGGAAAGAGGCCCACTCGTTGATGTGATTGTCCTCTCATGTGTGTGGTCAGTATCCTCGTACTCACTATGGCTTCCCGCCCTACCAAATGCATCCCAATGTCATGTGGCCGCCGCCTGAGCCGTCCGCACGAGATCGCGGAGAGTCCCTCCCGCCACTCCGGCACTCACCGAGACGAAGGGCTCCCCAGTCGTCACAGCAGGTGATGCACACTTGCCAAATACGCGCACTGCCTGTCGCCTCACCAATGCTGTCTGTGTTTGTGTGTGTGTCTTGCAGGTGCCCACTGAGAGGGCCGGCGAGGTGACGATTGGCGAGCGGCTGCGGCTGGTGGAGGAGTTCGAAAGGCGGAAGAAGTTCGGCGAGCGCATCACCATTTCCCGGTTCGAACGAGAGAAGGGCCTCAAGCCTGGCCAGTTCAAGCAGTGGCGGCACAAACTGAAGAAGCAGCCGGCGCCGGGCAAGAAAGCCATCGACACAAACAAGAAGCGCAACAGACAGCCGAAGTACCACCAAATTGAGGACGTGATGCAGCAGTGGATGGCCAACCATGCTGATCCAATGAGCGTCCCTCCGAAGGCCATCCGGGTCCGGCGTCAGTGGCTTCTCGGCGAGCCCCAACTGGATCAGGGCCTTCGCTGTGGTGTGAGTAAAATGTGACTGATGTATTCGCATCCTATTTTGTTTGCTGCCGTATGCTCTGCTTCATGTCCCGCCCTGCCTCGATGGGGTATGTGGGGTGATAGCTGACTGATTGCTGACCGAATGCTGCACTTATGAAAACGTGTTGAGAGTGAGCTTTCATGCGTTCATTGCATAAATATCACGTGCATAAATATCACGTCACACATCGTCCTTTGCTGTCAATCAGCAACGGGACTGACATCAGCAAAGTCAATCGACAGGGTAGACACGAATGCATCAAACGAATCAACACGTCAAATGTGGTGCTACCATACAGGCAGAAGCATATGGTAGCAACCCCACACGGCATGCACACGCACATCTGCACACACAAGTTACCATCAGTCATCAACTTGTACCACAAACAGTTTCGTACCGATAACTCGCAATGAGTCTCGCATCCCTCTTACCTGATCTTTTCGTTTCTTTTCTTTCTTACTCTCTTTCCTTTCTTTGCTTTCTTAAGCCTTGCTATATTTCTTTCTTCTCTGACTTTGTCATGTACTTGTTTCTTTTTCACTGCCTTTCTGAATCGAACGATGGCCTGACTCTTCGACCACAACACGCTCAAAACGCAACAATCAATATCTTTCGCCTGCCCGCCATCGGCCTCTCTGACGGCACACATTGACGACACACACATACACGTCACCAATCCCTCACTCAGTCAGTCAGTCGCTAGACATCATCGAGACACGCGCGTACTCCTCCCTCTCTCACTGAACACATACCGCGGACGGTCCCGGGCACACGACATACGGCAGCGATCGCATGGACAGGACGATGTGATGAGGAAGACACGACTCACACAGGTTACCATCGGAAAAAAGATCACGAAAACGTGCAGAATGCGAGAGAGAAAAGACTTGTAATCGCATCCACACCACATCTGCTAATTTGCAACGGGACTGACATAACACACCAATATTTGGAATGCAATGCAGTGAAGCCAGTGAATCGACACAGCAAGACACGGGGAATACGACATGCAACACGCAAGAGGCGACGCGCAACACGCAAAGGGCAGGGAGAGGCAGTCTTCTGTCTCTCACACACATAGGGGACGACTGCCAGTTCGCTGAGCTCGGTCGTCCTCTCTAAGTAATCCCTCCCCAAAGCCGTCAGCCGATATCTGACCCCGCCTGCCCCTCCCGCAGGTGCCGGGACGGGAAGGGTGGCACCCGTCGAGGCCATGCATCCCGACCCCCGGTGCCGTGGCGTTGAGGCGGGCGGCCACGCCTTCTCAATGAACTTGAGCGACCTGCACGCAAGGAGAGGGAGGGATGCACGTTATGGGGGCGCGCGTGTCTGTGTTGAGATTGAACTGACCTGAGGTCGTTGAGTATTCGTTGGAGGCTCTCGCTGTCGATCTCGGGGAGCACCCCCGCCTCCACCTGACGCTCGAGCTCCACCGACTCGACGCCGCTGATGTCGCTCTTCATCAACCCCATCACCCTGATGCGCTCCTTACGATTCCTGGGCCTGCACACACACACACAGATACGCATTCATTAGTGTCTGCAGGTTAGAAGCAGTCGCGTCAATTTGAATCTGAATGGTTCTAGTGTGTGCGTGTGTGTGACCTGAATCTGAATCTAGGTTCGCGGCACTGCTGACATCTTGCGACGCGGGGCGGGTTGTACTGGAAGGCGCACAGCCGACACGCCCAGTTCTCACGGAGATGCGGCGGGGCCTCTGAGGGCGGCATCTCCTTCTGGAAGAGCCGGGGGCATCTCTCGCGTATCTCGTTGCACTCGGACGTGGTGAACGTCACAATCGAAAACCCGGGGGACTCCTCCTGAACACATCATCAATCAACCAATGCATCCACACGGCCGTCTCTGTCTGTGTCGTGTGTTGTGTGCGTCCTTGCCTGTATTTTCTGGAGCCATTCGTCGCACACTCCACAAGGTGCGATTGGGTTGAGCTCGTCCTTGGGATCCGCCACGGCGATAGCGCGGAAGTCGCTGCGCCGCACGTCGAGCGAATTCGATATGCACGTCGATATGGCCGAACGCTCCGCACAATTGGAACCTGCACACACCGAGACGGAGGCATCCACACGTATTTCCTGCCAGTGGTTCGTGCAAATGGTACCTGAGGGTAGGGAAATCTCAGAGTTCATGCCCCTGTAGAACATCTCCTGGCCGCTTTTGTTGACGACCATAACAACTGCCAGGACGGTCTTGCTCGACTTGCGGTGCCAGAAGGGGTCCATCTCTCCAGCGGCCTCGAACGACTTCCAGTCATTCACGAAGCGACGCATCTCATCCACCAAACTGATGCATCAATACACAACATCAACGGATGGATGCCGTACTCGCTTCACTCACTCACTCACCGTTTCAGCGGTTCCCTGGGGTCGATCTCACCATAAAGCCGCAGTCGAGTGTACTCCTCCGTCACCAGCCACCGGTTGCTTCCCGCCAGCGGCCCAGAAGTGGTGGATGTGCCCCCCGTGGCCAAATTCTGCTTGCCGCAGATGCCGCCGGTGCCATCAGCACACGGAACCACACACGTCGCACACACCTCGCCCACACGGTCAGCGGGAGTCGTCATACTGACTGGACAAGCGGTGCCTTCGGGTGGCTAGAGTGGTTTGGTGGTGGTCGCTGATGATGTGGCCGGCAACCACAGGAAGGAACGATGACGAACGAAAGGAACAGAAACGACAAACAAACTGAGAAGGGAACACTGGGAAGGGCAAATGACGAGAAGCGGGACAGACAGGCGGACAGTATAGCAGCTGGAGCCTCCCATAACGACACCAGAAAGGAGCATATCTCCACGACGTCCCCATAACCACACCGAATGAGTCACAGTGATAGTCATGGCCGAGATCTTGCCCTCGACGAAGAGATCTGCACACACACACAGCACACCACCAGCACATTCCTTCCCGCGTTGTTTCCCCCGCTTCTGCGAGCTCACGCATCTGCGAGCTAAACAAACGGGAGCGTCCTGTTCGAGATCTGAGACGAAAGGAGGCCTTCTGATGGACGACTCGTTCAGATCTCACCCACAGGTGACGTCCTGTGCCGCCACACACAGATCTTTGGCTGATGTGCTGTGTGCTTCTCTCCAGGCCACGGATGCCACCGAATCGGCCGAGGAGCATAACGATGATGATACTCACACACAGGTGTGTGCAGCGATGGAGTCAGTGGTGCTGATGTGACTCTGTTCCTTACCCTTTTCTCACAGGTGGCAGATGGTGGTTGCGCTGCCGCAGCTGCAGCTCCTTACTACGGCTCTTATCAGGTGGGCATACTCGGCAGTCCTTGGATCGCATCACTTGACCTCTCTCTCTCTTTCTCTGTGTGTGTGTGTTTGCTGCAGCCACCCGGCTATGTGTCTGGGAGTGCCGCTGGCGGATGGGGGACTCAGTCGCATCCCAGAGAGCCGCAATCACGAAGTGACCCTGCAGCCGACGGATACGCATCAGGTAAGCGGACACGCAAGGCGCTCCGATTGCCGTGCAGGCGAAGATGCAACCGTCGATTGTCTGGTGGCTGTAGGGGACGCTGAGTGCTTCGGTGGGAGTCAGGCATCGGGACATGTGAGCCTACTAGACGAGCCAGCCGATGGCCTGCCTTGCCTCTTTGGAGACAATGACCATCCCGGCCACCCCACAGCGAGCCCCTCCATGCATCAGCAGACACCTCAGGTGAGAGAACGAACAAGAGAGGCCCACTCGTTGATGTGATCGTACTCTTGTGTGTAGTCAGTATCCTCACCCCCACCATGGCTACCCGCCCTACCAAATTCCCCAGCTGGCGCCCACTGCGGGAGATGCCCCTGACGTAAGACTCTGAATCCTCCCAGCAATCCATTCACTCACTGCCCGTCACATAGCCTCTCTTTGTTTGTGTGTCCTGCAGTTGTCCACTGAGAGGGCACCGGAGATCACTATCGGCAAGCGGCAGCGGCTGGTGGACGAGTTCATTTCACGTCAAAAATCCGGCGAGCAGATCAGCATGCGGAAGTTCGCCAAGGAGAAGGGCCTCAAGTATGAGCAATTCAGGCAGTGGTACCATACCATCAAGAAGGAAAGGAAGGACGGCAAGCAGATTATCGATCCGAACAAGAAGTGCAACAGACAGCCCAAGTACCCGCAGATTGAGGATCCGATGCGGCGGTGGATGGCCGGCCGTGACCCAATGACCGTCCGCCCGAGAGACATCCGGGCAAAGGCGATGGAACTTGGCTTCCCGGCCACCGACAAATGGATCACAAACTTCAGAAGACGGTGCCAACAGGGCAGAAAATGAGAGGGATGCACAACAAGAGATCCGTCACGGTCTGAGATTCTCACCTCTTTATTGTCTGGTCAGAACCCTCCCGCAGCAGCTGGTGAGTCCCCTGCTGCTGCTGCTGCTGCTTCTGCTGCCGCTGCTTCAGCAGGCACCGACAACCCCGATGGAATGACGGTTAGAGACGGATGTGTGTGTATACACCCGGCCTAATGGCAATGGTGTGTTGTTGTGTGCACCCTGTAGAGCGAGGAGGAGTTTGAAGCGACTGTGAATCAGTGGATCGGCGCCGTGCCTCAGACTGGCGTACCAGACGCTCCCTGCTCTTCACCCCCACCGGCCTTGCTGACGCATCCGCCTGTCCTTCATCCCCTCCCCCTCCCTCACTGGCCCGCTGGCAACAAATATGTCGTCTGCTGCCGCCTCTGACGACGCCGATGGCATGAGTGTGAGAGAAGGGTCTATACTACAGCTGCAGCTGCCGCTGCGGCCGCTGGCAGCGTCCCACCTGCCTCCTTTGCCTCGGAAGGATATCCGCTGCCACTGCTGCAGGACCAACCAGACGATGATGCGGCTACTGACGGCGGCGCCCTCTCCACCAGCAGTCGCAACAAGACACCATGAGCGTAAGACAAAAGGCCAAGAGTAATAAACTATGTGACGGCTGAGCGGTCCCCCCCTGTTGCCATTCAGGTGGTGCCGTCTTACTCCCCTTTCCCCTACCTCACTGACCCGCTGGCAACAGATATGTCGTCTGCTGCCGCTCTTGAAGACGCCATGGGCGAAGAACATGGTACCGGCTGGCCACGAGACGACGAGTCAGCTGATGACACGTTCAGCGGTTGGCGTCCCCATCTCCTCCCCCTGACCGCATTCGAGTCGTCTGCTGCCGCCCCTGCCAACGGCGACAGCATGGCTGGCGGACAGATGGCCTTCGGGGGAAGCCTACGAGATGACGAGTCAGCTGGCGACACGTTCAGGGCCTGGCAGCCGTCAGCCGCTGCTGGACTCCCTTCACCGTTGATGGCTTTCCCAGCATACGGCCCCCCACCTCCCGTGGCCGCATCGGCTTCAGCCGCTGCGGGCCCCCCTCCCGCAATGCATCCCCCCCACCCCCATCCCCTCCTCATTCCCCTCACTGCCGCCCTTTCTGGTGTGACATCATCCCCAGGAGCACACCAGACAATCGAAGGCGGCGCCGAGCCGCCGCCAATAGACTATGACATTGTCTCGCTCGCCTCTTCGATGGTTCAGCCGACGGCCGCAGCCAGCACCCAGCCTGCACCTGGACCGCCACTGCAGGGCCAAACAAGCGAGGTAGCAGCCGCCGCCAGCGACCAGCCGGCCTACGGCACACCATCAGAGCGACAAACCATGAGCGTAAGACAGAAAGCCAGGAGGGATGAGCTTTCTGACGGCTGAGCGGTCCCCCTCTGTCGTCATTCAGATGGCGCCGTCTACGAGCAGACAGACCAATGAGAGAGGGCGACCGACAAAGATCGCCAAGAATGACGCGTTCCCCAAGTTTCATGCGCCGCCGTCTGCGGTGAGCACACCTAGAGACAAACACATAGAGAGCAGACATGCTTATCTGGTGTGTGCAGGTGTTGTCGCATCCGTCGCCCAAGTGTCCTCCTTCCATCGCTGCTGATGACCAGCCAAATAACACGCCAAAGGTCAGCAGACCTGCCCATTCTCCCATCTAATGTGTCAAGATCAAATAATGTTTGTATCAATGTTATGTCATCAGCATGACGATGAGAGCAGCAGTAGTGCAGCTTACTTGGAAGCTGCTCTTGCCGCGGCAGATACCGGCGACGGCAACACATCGCAGCGATCAGCAGAGTGGGCTCTCGGAATCGTCTCCGTCGTCCTGATCAGCTTAAATGCTGTTCTTCCCGGCCACATTCTCTTCCTCCTCTTGGCTCTACGATTGGTCCTCGTAAGAAGATGCACCTCACTTTGCTCTCAGCACAACGATCAGCACCTTGCTCTCTCACTTTGCACTCTCACTTTGCTCTCTCTCTCTCTGTATTCCTGCACCTGCAGGTCCCCACCGACGAGGGTACCTCGTCTCAGCAGAGAAGAGTACGCGAGACCCCTCTAAACTCAAACGGAATTCCTGACTGCTGTGTTTCTTTTGTGTTGTCCACAGAGAATCGATGGCAGCAGCTTGAGTGCGTCTGAGTGTGATGATCTCCACTCTCTGCTCGTTCCGTCGCTGTTCAGCCAATGCTCATTCACAATGCTCTACAGGTACAAACTACAGCTTCCTTTATGGCAGGGCTTGTTGTCTATTCTTTCTGTTTGATTTCAGGGCTTCGCGTCATGGCTGGAAGTACTCTGACTTGCTCGGACGTGTGCGGGGTGCCGGCGATCTTCTTTTCGTCATCCGCCGCAAGGGCGGATACATGATCTGCTTGCACGTGGAGGGAGCTTTGGAAGAGCCAGATGATCCACAACGTGACTTCCAGCACGAGACTCGGCAACGTGTCATGATTCTGGATCGGAAAGTCTTCGACCAGCCAACGTGCATCGAGCTTGAGCAACATCATCGCGCTTTGCGGGTGGCGGGAAGAGACGGATGGGTTGAGATTTTCCCCTACAGCGGAGGGAAGAGGGCAAAGGTGGTCCTTGCCGACGGCCTGTTCGCGCTGGGCTGCGAAGATGACTTTGAGCCGAGTCCAGATCGCGAGCTAGAGAGGTGCACTGTGTCGATCAACCGAGGCGCCCTCTCAGCACGGGATATACTGGACGGCTACAAAGGCGTGTGGGACAAGAACAACAGCGTGGCTCTGCCTCTTGGTGTGCGGCACTTTATGGCCGACGAAGTGGAGGTGATCAGGATCGATGGGTGCTCGCCAATCCCACCACTGGTCAGAAAAATAGTGGTCAGGCACACAGGACGCATTTCATGTGTGTATATGTTTCGTAGAGTATCGATGGGAGCAGACTGAATGCGTGTCAGACAGCTGCTCTGCATGACTTCTTCAGTCGGACGGACCGCTACAATTTCAAGCTTGTATACAGGTAAAGGACCGATGTCGGAGAAAGAAATTCAGTGCTGAAACCTGTGTGTCATCGTTTTGTATGTACTTGCGCTTTCAGCAGCACACGTGATGGGGCAAAGTATGCAGACCTCCTGCGATGCCTTGAAGCGCGAGAGGCAGAGCTCAAAGTCGTCGCTGCACCTTCGAATGAGGAGGACACACAGGCATCGAGAGGCCTTGTGATTGCCGTCTTCAAGGAGGAGCTTATATTTGGCGCCTTCATCGACGACAGCATCCACGTCCCAACCGATGCCACAGCTGGGATTCAGCATGGGATGCGGCATCCCCCGCAGTGGTCATTCACGCTGTCTGGTGGATACGAGCGGCCCAAGAAAATCAGGATACGTCCAGAGGCTCGTGGAGTGCTGGCGGCGCCCAAGGAAGGAGCGATGTGGAGATGCCCATGCCTCTTGATTGGCGGCGCCGGTCAGCTCGTCCTTGGCCGTGACGGTCCTGGTGATCTTCGCAAGTGTAGCGGCTTTATTGACAAACGTGACCTTTTTGTCGGATACGAGGGCATGCGACAGGAAGGAAGCGGACATGCCTTCTTCGGTAGAAGCCTTGAATTTGACGCTGACAGGATTGAGGTCATTGAGGTCAGCCGTGCGTGGCCCTCGCCGTTTTCGACGTCTGCCGCCGCTTTTCCTTGTGCTCAACTAATTGGTCGAACACCCTTTCGTCCGGTAAGTATGATGAGTTTGAGTGGAGGGTGATGATGATGGGTTTTTGCTTTCCCCTGTACTGCAGGCGTTATTCGAGGGCGCCTCTTCGCAAACGACATATCCCTGCTTCAAGTGCAAGGGGCGCGGATGGCGATGCTCAGCGTGCAATCTGACGGGCAAGTCTGTCCCTCTGACTGTCGTCCATGGGACGACAGAGGCAGGGGCGGACGGGATACGTCAGACGGGATTCGATCTTTCGGTCGGCAAAGGAGAAGACAACATGTCTGTAAGTGGTCTCTACGTGACGAGGGAGCACAGCAAGGTTAGTGCAGGGCAGGCAAAGGGGGTGTGCACAGCACACACACATTTGCTTCTTCTGCCATTTCTGCAGGCGATGGTGTTCGCTCAGGGTAAGGCTGAGAGGATGAAAAGCCCTCCTGTGGTGATGACCCTGGTCGTCGATTGTGGCCGGTGCAAGAACCATGATGCCAGCGCCTGCAAAGGAGGCCACGTCCCTGTGGGGTGTGATTGCCGCAAGTGGAAGGCAGAAGGCTACGACAGTCAGTTCATTGCCGCAGGAAAGGGCGTAGAAAGGGAGGAGATAGTGCTCAAGAGCTCGGATCAGGTGATCAGCATTACGCAGGTGACTCCTGTTTCGGACTGAAGCTTGGTGTGTATATGATTTGATTGGGACGTGCTGACCTCTTGCACTGGTCTTTCATCAGGATGAGCTTGCCGTGTTTGATGTTTCGCCTTTGCGCTGACGTTTGCTGTGACATTTGCTCTGTTCCTTTCATGTGTGCGCGGGTGTCCGTGTGTGTGTCTGTGTGAATGCTCATGGACTGGTTTCTGCTCTCTCTTGCCGGCAGCCAGCTTGCCGCAAGCCCCTGTGACTGATGCATGCTGTGTGTACTCATGCCTTGTGTGTGGTGTGTATGATGATGCATGATGCCGACTGCATGCATGCCCGTTTGTCTATGGATGCTGCTCGTGTAATGACAACGGACCCACATGTGTGTATGCGTGTGCTTGACTGCTCTGAAGGCCTTGTGCATGGAGTGCGAGCAAGATTGACCATACACACACATCGCATAGCGCGTCCCACGCAAATCCAATCAGTCAGAAGAACGCAAAAACACACAGTCATTCCCAGACAGACAGCCACCCATACACAAACGCAACACGTCTCAACGCATCAATAAAGGACAACAGGAAGGTGACACACGCTCTGGAGTACACGCTGACAAATGGGAACGCATTAGCTGCTGGTCTCAGGGTTCAGACCCTCATGAATGAAGTGCGATGAAAAGGGTCAGTGACGAGAAAGATCCCAACGAAGTTCGACATCCATTCACACATCTACTATCATCGCAAGGGGCGCAGTGCCATCCTGCGACTCACGGCAGACAGCGCCCATCCCTTACCAACACATCCACATGTTGTGGCCGGCTCTCTCTCCCGTCAGAGCGGCAGGAGGGCCACCACGTCATAATAGAAGGACCACATGTATACGGACCACACGTACATGCACACATGCACACACTCATGCCACGAAGGATGGCACAATTGAAGGAAGACTTGCATCACAGGACCGGTAAACAAGAAGGCGCCCCACACCACACCAGACAGGCAGACACACAAGAAAATCTCCACACGGACGTGCCAATCCCTCGTGCGTGTAGAGTGCCCATAGAGAGAGCGAGCCAGGCAGACACTGTCGACGTATAGAATAAAGCACAGACAGCACCAACAGAATCGCAACCGAAGGTAGGCAGGCAGATATCCGCTGCGCCTCTCTCACTTGGTAATAATACAACAGTGTCGCCTCGTACTTGTGCAGCACAGCGATGTATGTATGTATGTGTAAGTCGTTGTGTGAATGCACACGAGACGACACAAGTACCGAGGGCTCCATACAGGTGTAGAGCTGGTGCCCTCCACGGCACATAAGCAGACGAAGCAATCGCACCCACAGACACACAGCCATGCCAACCAGCAACATCATGCACCCACCCCCACAGTCACAGATGTAAGCACTAGTTGCTGTCGTCGCCGCGCCCCCTCTCTCCTTCAGCGTCGACCCCAGAGCAGCCCGAGAACACTGATCAAGGACAGCAGAGTGAATCCCATATTTGTGGATGTTGACACCGATTCCTTACTTGGGGAGTTTCGCGGTCGATGCCAGCTCAGCTGGGGCCGGTCGCCGGCCTCGCCCATAGCCTAAACGATACAATGACGAGCGCCGAATACATTGCAAATGAGGTGAGTGGCGTACTGTTTATGTGCCACTGCTCATATTGTCGTAGGGATGCGAGGGCGGCCCGGGGGAAGCTTCTGGTGGAGCGCCGCCGTACATTGGGATGGGCTCACACACACCTACAGAAAGCAGAGAGATGGAGAAAAGACCAGTGTGATGTGCCTCCTTAACCCACCGGCTTGTGATGCCGCGGCAAACGGATTGGCTGGAGGCCCATTGACGTCGGCTGATGTGTATGTCGGGGCCACCTGGTTGACCCTCAAGCGAGACGGGCAGACGTAGAAATGGAAACACGCATTCAGCTGCAGCTCACCAGCATTGCCAGTGGACCCCGGGAAAGTGCTGCATGAAGGCACCATCGCACTGCTGCTGTCGTATCACCGGCGCCGCGCCGTTGAAGTGAGGTGGTGAGTAACGGAGGTCATTTTGGCCCAATGGGTGCTGCAACGGTGGAGAGTCTTCAGCCATCACCTGAGCCTGGCACCGCAGGGACAGATGGGCCCGCTGTGTGTGAATGTGCTTCGTCCCATTGGTACCTCACTGACGGGTGAGTGGGGGGCGTTGTTCGAATGGCCCGTTGCTGGAGCATAGACGTGCGACGGCTGAATGAAAGAAACACACACGCACAATAACCTAACCGTCGTGTCGCTGTCGTCTTCGCTTGACGGCTTGCCTGTGACGCCATATGTCCCTGTGCAGCGATTCCCTGTGCATCGCTGCTCAGTGCCGACAGGTGAGGATATGGCTGCCAATGGCGATGGAAACTGAATGGAAAGCAGACACAGACACAGGCACAGGCAAAGGCAAAGCGGTCGGGTGTGGTGCTGTGTGTGTGGGTTGCTCGAGGCTCACCCTTGTATGTGGTGGTGGGCAGGCAGCAGGGGCACCTGATGGACACGGCGTCCGTCTGCGGCCTGACAGACGGTCACAGAATGCAGCCATGGACGCATGTCAGCCATCCAGCTTCCGACATTTCTGCTCAAACGTTTCTGTTTGGCCTCACCGGGACGGTTGGCAACGGAGAGATAAGGAAATCAGCAGGGGCAGCATCTCCAGCAGCAGCAGCAGCAGCACTTGGCTGTGGTAGACAGATGGAACACACTTTCAAGTTGCAGGCACGGGGGTATCTTGCCACCTGCTCGGCTGCTGACGACGAGGCCATATTCACTGATTTGTGGGATCTGGCGTCATGGATCTCACGCCGGCGGCCATCCTTGGCCTTGACGAACTCGAAGACGTCCCCTGCAGACACGGTCCCATGGACAAGGGGAAGGCCTTGCTGACACTGTCATATAGTTCCTACTTGCTGGGGTGACGTAGTGACCGCCCTGCTCCCCAGCGGCCGCAGCAGCCAAATGTCCCTGCCGGTCTCCTGCCGGCAAGGGACCTTCCTTGCTGTCCAGCAAGTCACCCAGCGACGGAGGTTCGCCATCTGTAGACAGAAGCACAAGGATAACAACACATGGATGGCGCACCCCCGTGCTTCTGAGGGCCAAATCTCACCAGCGTCAGATGGAGGATGCACTGGAGCATCTGCACACGACACGTGAAAGTGTCCACAAGGGCCGCCAGTCAATCGATCCTCATTCGATTGTGCTGGAGACTCACCCTGCATAGCGGCTGCCATCGTCAGGAGCTCTGTCTCAGAGCAGCTGTACCCGGCTGCAGACACGGAGAAAAAGACGCATTTGTATAGGCCTATATCGTCTGCTGCATGCTCACCTTGACGGACGAACTGCACGACGGCGTGTCGGGCGCCTGCGGTGAAATGCAGACATCACCAGGAGTGAGCAGATCTGGTCGACCTGTTTGTATACGCTCACCGTTGAAGATGTCCACCAACCGTCGGACAGTGTCGAAGCCGACCTCGTAGTCGAGCTCAGCGCGCAGCGCACGCGCAATGTCGTCGCGTGTGATGGGGTGCCCTGCAGCGAGCAGCACACAACGCCAGTAGACAGACGTGTGAACGTGTTGTCCTGACTCTTGCGTGTGCTGTTCCTCACCGCTCTGTGTGCTGGGTTGGGGCTGCAGAAGGTAAGTCTGACAGCGAGACAGCACAGAGATGGATGTCTTCACGACGCGCTGCAGTGCCTTCCCACATCACTCACACGTACCTGTCCCGTCTGCAGCTGCCCGTCTGGGGGAGGGGGTGCATCCCCCTGGTCAGATGCCTGCACCAATGTGATACACTCTGCCTGTATGGCAGCCTGACTATGCCCTTCCTCCTGGCTGCATGGCTGCCTGCTTGCAAACCCACTTGTTGCTGCGTGACTGGACTCGCCATGGTCTCATCCACTTGATGCGGAATCTCCCGGCTGAGCCACTTCAGGAAAGCTCGACAGGGCACTAGAGACACACACGCACCCACAGAAAGAGATAGAGAGTGCTCGCAGGTCTGCTTGTATGTGGGTGTACCTCTGTCTGGCACGTAGGTGATCCTGAGGTATCGGCCATCGGTCATCGGTGCGTCCCTCTGCACAACCAACTCCTCTACGATCATGTCGCGGGGCCACTTGGCGGCGAAGTTCCTGAGCTGCTGCACCGTGTTCTCTCCCGGCACCCATATTCTAAGAACTTCCACGTCTGACACACAAACAGAGGCATCAATCAATACGGCGTACGTATGCAGACGGCTGTGCTGTCCTCGACACTCACCCCTCGACCCGAGACTTCTGCGAGACGCATTGAGGTCATGGGTGGGCCCTCTGTTCTGGTGGTGGTACACATCTGCAGAATGACAGATACGGTGGATGGACAACACATTCAATCCCCCGCATCGCATCGCATCGCATCGTACGTGCGCTGGTGACAGTCATCGGCGCCGCCGATGGCCCAGGAGGGGCAGGAAGCCACTGCAGACACCACGCAGTACAACACAGCAAACATGAGGCCGTCAATGTGCAGACATGTCTTCCCCATCACACACACACCTGCGCAGTCTCGTCTGTCAGTTTGTGTGTCTTGCGCAGGTGAGAATTGACGACGTTGCCGAAGGTGTTCTGCTTGCCGCAGATGCCGCCGGTGCCATCAGCACACGGCACCAAACACGTCGCACACAGCTTCTCACCGGTATCCTTGTCGACCGGCACGTAACGCACCTCATCCACGAGATCCCCTCCCCAGTACACGAGGACGCAGCACTGGCCGCCCTGATGAGCCGCCTGGTCGGTCAGGTTCATATTCGGTTTGCGGAAGGCCTGCAGGCGGAACAGGTGGCGGAGGGGCCGGTCCCGGGCGTCCTGGTCGATGGCCGCCGGGAGGAGCGCCAGCTGCTACCCCTGCTGACCGATGATGCGCTCGGCACTCGCCGCGGTGAGCCACACTTGGCGATGCTTCGGTGGCGCGGTCATGTCCGTCGGGTCCGCCAGCGACTGAGAGCGCTGGCGATCGAGCTCGATGTCGTCCCAGTGGTCGTGAAGGCCACGGAGAAGGAACGCTCGCCACCCAGGAGAAAGACCGGCTGCAAATCAACACAAGTGGCAGATCTCAGTCAGTGTGTGTGGGAGGGGCGTGCGAAAGTGAACGTGGATACCTCACCGTTCATGGCGGTGCGCTGACAACGGCGGAACAGCAGAGCCTGACGAGCTGTAGGAATACCGTGAGCAGTATACCAAGCCGGCCCTCCCATAACGACACCAGAAAGGAGCATATCTCCACGACGTCCCCATAACGACACCGAATGAGTCACAGTGACAGTCACCGCCGAGATCTTGCTCTTGACGAAGAGATCTGCACACACACAGCACAGCACAGCACAGCACAGCACAGCACAGCACACCAGCAGACAGAGAGGACATGCATTCAGCGGCCATTTGGTGCGAGCTCAAAGGTCTGCGAGCTTATCTGAGTTAGAGCAACTGGTCTTCCCTTTCGCTATCCCCCGACCACAAGGCAACCGGTGTCGACAGCGATTTTTCTGACCATCATAGGGTGGCACGTGCGTGTCGAGTGGGTGGGTGGGTGGGATGGGGAGACAGGCCGTGTGCATGCTTCTATGCATGTGCATGCTGCTAGTTTAGTGCGTGACCTGGACAGGATCCCCTCGGGGTTACAGACACGAGTCTCGTTAAACACAATAACCAACCAACCAAGGCGTCCCTTTCTGCGAATCCAAGCTCGCAGATCCCAAGGCAGATCTCTCGAGGCATCCTCAGCCTTGTTTTCTTTTGGCTGAGGATGCCATCGGCTCCCCTCCCTCTGGGGGTCATGTTGGTCCTCGTCCGGTCCTCATCCGTGCCCATTTGGCTGTGGTTGGCGTCTCCGACCTTTCCTCGTGATGCTGCCCGCCGCAGCTCATCATATCGCTCAGCCTTATTGGCTCTTCCTCTGGCGTCCTTCTCGCCCCCCCGGCACGCTCTCCCACATCCCCCCGAGCCTCAATTGGGTCTTCATC